TAATATATGTATGGATATGTATGTATGTNTATANGAATATATGTATATATGTTTGTTTGTATATATGTATGTATGTTTGTATGTATATATGTATGTATGTTTGTATGTATATATGTATGTATGTATATATGTATGTTATATGTATGTATGTTTGTATGGATATATGTATGTATGTATATATGTGTATAATGTTATATCCATAAAACCGTAAAACCCTAGGATCGCTGTGTTTTAAGCGTCAGTTGAGCGTCAGATTTAAGAATCGCAAGGTTAAGCGTCAGACTTAAGACTGGTCGCATGCATAAGTGTCAGATTTAGTGGTTGCTATTTTAAGTCGCAATTTCAACGTGTCAGACATACATAGTGGTCGCAAGACCAAAAGTCAGACTTAGTGGTCGCAGTCTTAAATAAATCAACACTAAAGTCTAGACTCTCTTTGAGAGGTCAGCTATATAAATATTTGTTAAAAAATAAAAAGAAAGAAAAAAAAGAATACTAAGCATAAAAGTCTAAAAGAGTTGGTTTCCAATGAGGATAGATTTTAAAAATTATCTGTAACAGGACTATTCAAGAGTATTTTTAACTTAGTGTGGAATGTAAATCTCACTATAGAGTATAGTGTACGTACCGTTACTTGTCCTTTGGCTTTCAGTGAACTTAGCCTTCAGGCGGTATATTTGATTATTTTCTTTATAGAGAGAGGGTCATGAACTCATGACTCGTGAGTCTTATGACGATTCACGAGACTATATATAGAGTATAGACTATAGACTACAGCGGGCTAAATACATTTAAAAGAACACAAAAAAAAAACAATCATAAATAAAAATCAAACATTCAGAAGAAGGCTATGAAAAAATATATTTGTGCAAACGACATTTTTAGTACACTCACAAAATTCACAATATTCATGTGCCGGTTATTATTCAGCCGAAAGTCCAGTGGCAAGTGGCCAGTGCTCAGTGCTCACTACACAACAAGGAGATTAAGAGAGGGGATTTTTTTTTGTCGTTGTTTTAAAATAATATATATATATATATATAAATTTCTCATTTGTTAAATTATTTTGTTTTTAAACAAAAGATGAAAAGTACAGCTAAACCCTGAATAATAATAAAACAAAAGATATATTTTTATTTTAAAAAATACCTAAATTTATAGACTTACTTTATATTTATATTTATATATAGCCTCATATTTTAGAAGGCTATGGATATTTTGCACAGTTTGGAGCTAAGCTCAATGCGTTAAAAGTTGTAACTTTTATTTTGCCTCGAATAAACATTAAAGTTGTAACTTTTATATCTCGATAGTACACTTCCATATATGATAGGTGCATTTTCCAGGTCACTCAGGTGACAATCGTCACGACTGAAACGTCCAATCTCTTTTATTTGCCTATTTTCAATTTCGTGGCCTAAAATTTTCAACGATCGGACAGCTTAATTGAGTGCAGTCTCCAAAATAGCTTTGTAGTTGATTTGACCTAAATAAAAATAACTTTTAAATGTCAAAAAGTTAACATTAAGTTGGAACCTATATTCCGTACCCCTATAACTTATTGAGCTTAGGTTTGGAGGCTTTGGATTTTGTTTTAAAAAAAAGCCAAGAAGAGGCTCCGTTTACACAGGTCACAGGGGACTCGGGGAGTAAGGATTAAGGAGACGAGGCCCAGCCGGCAGCCGCCCAGCCCGCCCAGAGATGAGGGCTAAGGCCGAAGTTCTGAAGTCTGATCTCAGAACTGTGACGTCGCACACTATATAAGAGGCTGACTCACAGACTCACAGTTCCCAAACAAAACGAGAGTAAATACTCAACAGAGTCACAACTGACAAGTAGTCTGACACTCAGTCTGACAGTCTTTAACCGCCCGAAAAGTCCTCGGTATTATAACAATCTCAGAGACTCAGACTACAGAGTCACAGACTCCACAGTCCACAGTCCACAGTCCAATGTCCACAGTCCATAATCGTCTGTCCGTCTCCTGACTGGTGTGTGTCTGTGTGATGCTAAAGCCGCCCAAAGGCCGTGAAGCCGGCACTTTTTTATATAGTATATTTTAAAAAACACACACAACAAGAAAGAGAGAGTGCGCGACACCGCTCGAGCTGGGTCGAGGATCGGAAGCGTGCCGACCTTACTCATACGTGTGCTTGTGCGGTATCTTTCACACACTTTTCAATATTTGTAGGATACGGTTAAAATCCAGGCCAGGTATGCATGTAAATACAGTCGGTTGACGGTTCTCACAGTAGTCTGTCCACTTTATACTTGTCCACGTCGGTCGTCGTTGGATGTCTTTTTTTCTCAATGTTGTATTTGAAAAAATAGGTCAGTAATAACTCAGCATACAAAAAACCAAGGCCTTCTGAAAATAGAACAAGAAGGCCATGAAAAAATCGAGAGATAATGAATGTGAAAGTAGTATGTACATACAGTATTTCCTGGAGTTCTAAGTGATAGAATATGATGAGCTCTCACAGCAACTATGTCCGATTACTTTCCTACAAAGTCTATTTGATTTCAAAGCCTATTAGCATAGCCCTCTCTAATAATCAAACAGAGGGCTATGATATTATAGTTAAATAAGTAACGGCTGACATGCGAAATGAGCTGTACGAAAGCTAGTAGTAGAGAGGGTCATAACTATATAGAGCGTACAAAAGCCTACAACAAAATCATAGCCGTATGAAGATAGAACAAAATATGGAGAAAATATATATTTATGTAATTACTGTTTTAAAATAGACTGACTCATAGTAATAGTACTAGAGAGTGGTATTTACCACACATACAGTCAAACCACGCCAGAAACCTCTTGTCCAATAAAATGGCTTACTAAGATGTCCGCTCGTTAGATTTCTTTTTTAAGCCTTTGACGGACTAAAGGTCAAGGACAAGAGTAGTGAAGAGTCGAGGTCTGGAGGACCGAGTCACCGACGACCGACTGTATTGTATTTATATTTATTTTATATAAATATATAATATTTCATGAAATTTTTTCCGACCTTTTCAGTTTCAGCCATGCTCCCTGGTCCTCTGCCCGGGACCCCAAGGCCCAAGTCCCCAACCCTCCGCCCTCCGTTGATCGTTCTCTCTCTTCAGACTTCAGTCTTCAGTCCAGGACTCCAGGTCCAGGACTCCACTTTCACTCTCCAGTTTTTTCACTTTGTAGCATTGTGCTCTGTATTTGTTTAAAAACAAATACATAATAAAAATATTTATATATAAAAAGAATATGTAGTCTGTTACAAATAGTAATAGTATTTAAAAATAATAATAGACTTTATATTTACTGTAGAGTGTAGCATAACCTTCTTCTAAATATAGCAAACAAGTGTAGTCTGTATAAAAAAATACTAAATAATAATCTGAACTCTGATACTCGAAACTGTAAACTTTAAAGTGTATTTATTTTCAACAACTGTATATATTTAAAAAAAAAATTACTGTTGTGACTTGTATAGTCGTTAGCTCATACTGCCTACTGGTAAGTGGTAACTGGAGTCATAACTCGTATTTAACTCTACAAAGTGAAAAACGGCTGCGCGGCCCTGTCGTCTGCTGAAACAGTGCTGAGTCTGCTGACTGCTGAGTGCGACTGCTGACATTCTGTGCTGCCAGAGTGCTGGGGCCTGGGGACCTGGGGCTGTATATAATGCGAAAACAAATACACATAAATATGTTGCACGCACTATTAGTTTTTATTTATTTATATTTTTATAAAACAATAAAAATAAATAAAAATAAATAAAATTATATCTATTATGTATAAATAAATACATACATACAATACATACCTACGTCGATATATTTCTTGACCACTATTTGAAATTTTGCGTCATGTGGGTGTAAATAGTTTCTGGTTTCAGGCACAGTTCGCTATGCTTTGACTTTCAACTTTTTTTAACTTTTACGCCACCACGCGGGGTCCTACTTGGGACTGAAAATGGGACGGCTAATAATTATACATAATTTTAGTGGGAATGAGCGGATGAGCAACTCAAGTCTATCGGCAAGTATTTCAAACTGGCTCTGGGAGCAATCTACCACATGTGGGATGCTAGCATAGCGCTCAAAAAGCCTGAATGGCTGAAGCCTGAAGCCGGAGCCCCCTCCTATTTCTTGAAAAGAAAAATGAGAAAATATCCAAATACGGCGATTGGCCTTTCTTCACCTTTTATTACATTTTGATTTTTTTTTGAGTGTTTATTTACTTTCAGGCATTAGCAGGATATTTTGAGTTTTGAACCGGAAAATATAAATTATTTGAATAGGCAATATATAAATGCGGCTATGCGAGCTCGACCAAGCACATCATACAGTGTAATACAGCAGAGAAGTCTGAGGTTCTACACTTTGTACTATAAAGATGAAGAACGCTGACGGCGATAACGTGAAAGTGACTCTCGAAGAGATCGAAGGTACCGACAATGTAGGAGCTACGGTTGGCCGAGAAAGTGCATCAGAGATGCTGCCGGAGCACGAGGCCCATGTATACGACAAGGACTCAATCGATGCATCCGTCATTCCACTCTGGAGAGAGTGTATGGGTGAGCTTATGGGAACAGCCACTTTGCTTGCCTTCGGCAACGGTGTTGTGGGTAAGTTCCTGATATATTTCTGTAATTTCAATTAATTCTCAATTGCTACTGGGTCTAGCTGTTTTCATATTTTATACTCTCATGCCGCAATTTCAGTTTGTCGGTTGTTTTAATCTAAATCAAGCAATTGTATCGAGTGGCGTATTTTAATAACAAGATGCCCTCTCTTTCTCTTTTGAATAGCCCAATATGTCATCTCCGAGGGTGGGGCTGGTTCGTATCTGGCGATTGCATTCACGTGGGGATTCGCTGTGACCGCTGGTATCTACGTATCCAAGGGCAATTGCCCATCGCATCTCAACCCTGCGGTAACGCTATCGTTCGCACTCTTCCGTGGATTTGAATGGTGGAAGGCACCCTTCTACATGCTTTCTCAGTTAATTGGTGCTATGATCGGTGCGTTCCTTGTTTGGACTGTGTACTTCCCCGGAAAGGATGATTCCTTCTACGTCCAAGGCACTGCTGGTATCTTCGCTACCTACCCAGGCGGAGGTGCATCCAATCTGCTGTGTTTCTGGACGGAGATTGTTGGTACAGCCATGCTTATGTTCGGTATCTTCGTAGTCGGTGAGGGCAGATCAAATGAACCAACTATGCCAGGCCATCTTGGACCTATCATGGTAGGAGGTATTGTCGTATTGATTGGAATGGCCTTCGGACTCAATTCCGGATATGCCATCAACCCAGCGCGTGATTTCGGTCCCCGTCTCGTCACCATGATCTGTGGGTGGGGTACCGGACCGTTCACTTGGTCCGATTATTACTTCTGGATTCCCATTGTTGGACCTTTCATTGGTATGTGCTTACTTTAGTGGATTCACCTATAGATTGTGTGCGTATGGGATGAGATTGCATTGTTTCTAAATGATTGCATTGCGTGTTAGAACGGGAGTATTAGTGGTTGTGTAAAACGCTTACAGTACATTGGGGAAGTTTGCTGACAGGGACAGACCACGTAGATATTGTAATTTCCTTTCTCCAGTACAGCACCTGCACATTTTCCAGCTGTAGTATTTGAGCAACGAATAGAGCAATAACTAACACCGATGAAACTTTTTTTAATTATAGGAGGTCCTCTTGGTTGCTTAATATACGAGGCGACTCTTGGCTGGCACTATCCCAAACCGAACAAGTATAACTAAATTCAAAATTGGTATGATTCCGTGGTGTCAATCACACAAGACGAGCTGTACTAGACTGTAGTTGGCCACGATAATTCGCAAAGAAAGAACAAGGAGAGAAGGTAAATCAAACTTTCTTCAAGTTATGTTATGCCGAAGGGCTGATATAAAAAATAGTAGTGTCTTGAAAGACAAATAAATATTTAATACCCAACATTCGCAGTCGTTTTGATGTTGTAGGTATGTCAGATCCAACGTGTTCAAGTAGGTAGCTATTTGCAACATCTGCTTCTGTTCTAAGATTTGGAAGAAATATCAGCCGTTTGATCTGAATGTCCTCTTAGCAGATTTGTCAGATTATACGACGTATAACGTGGATTTGAAGTTTGCACTAATTTTTGTATCTTCTTGTTGAATGTCCTTTTAGCACTGTGTTCTGTATGTGTTAGTTATTTCTGTGTTCCGAATGATCTTGTTAGCACTTGTGTTCTGAATGTTGTTGTTAGCACTGTGTTCTGTATGTGTTAGTTATTTCTGTGTTCTGAATGACTTTGTTAGCACTGTGTTCCGAATCGTCTTGCTAG